CAAGAACAGCACCGACGAGAACTACGAGTACGATGAGAATTACGATTATGACATGTACAACTACGACAGCTCCGAGTCCGAGCAGGACGACGAGGATGTCAAGGATACGACCAGCGTGCGCCCCAAAAAGGCCAAGCCCAGCAAGACGACCACACCCAAGCTGCATCCCATCGAGGAAAGCACCTCCACCAAGGTAAGTTCTAATCTCTCGTTCAGTTTGTGGAAACCCTAACCCATTACATACGCTTACAGACCAAGATCAGCGAGGATGATGTAAATGGCAATAAAATTGATAGCGACTCATCCTCTGCAAATCTGGACGATATTGGGCTTGATGAGGATGATGATGATGACGATGACGACGACGACGACGATGATGATGATGATGATGAGTAAGTTTTCGGCATAGCCCAGTCCAGGTTTAACTTCCATTAATTTTTGCCATTTTCTAGCTCTGACTTTGACGACAAGCTGACGGATGAGGAGCAGGTCGTCTTTAGCGAGAATGTGCCCTGCCCCAGGTACTGCACCTGCGCGCATAACATCCACAGCTACCTGGCGGCCACGTGCAGCAGGTTTGTAGACCCATTTCAAGCAGCCGACCAGGTCGATTAACACTAAGTCTGTGCCATTTATTAGACTGGACCCAGGCACGCAGAAGTTCGGCTCGGATATCACGGATTTGGTGGTTACCAATGTGGGTCCCAAATACCCAATCTTGCTGGGCCCCAAGTTTTTCCAGCAGCTGGGCCTCAAGTATGTTGCCTCTATCAAGATCGCCAACTGCACCATCGAATATATGCACCCAGAGGCTTTCCATGGCCTGGATGAGCTTTATGCCGTCAATATGACAGATGTTGGTGTGGCCATTATTAACCCGGACACATTTGCCCAGAACAAGAAGCTGCGCATGCTCACAATCTCCGGAAACGATCTGAGCGTTATGTCCACGCTCCATTACTTGGTCAAGGTATGAAGTGGGCGCTCTTGAAATCGATTTTATACAATTAACAATATAATTTTCCCTTTAGTCTTCCAGCATTGAGGAGCTGGATCTTTCGCGCAACAATCTAATGGAGTTGAATCCCAGCGCCTTTTCGAAGCTCTCCAACATAGTATACATTAATCTGGCCCAGAATAACTTGCAGAAGATACCCGAGAAGGTATTCGAGACAGTCGATACGATCGAGGAACTGGACTTGTCCTACAATTCGCTGAAGGAACTGCCAGCCAATGTCTTCAATGGCACAGCTCTGTCGATACTGCATCTGAAGTATAATTCTTTCACCGGCGATTTGCACTTTGGCGTGAAGGACCTGCAGCAATTGGACTTGAGCTTCAATTCCATTGTTCATGTGCATCATAGCATGTTCGACAAAATGCCCGGCTTGACCAATCTGAACCTGAAGGGCAATGGCATCACCAAAATTCAGCCAGACTCGTTCCTTACGCTGGAGACCCTGCGCCACATTGACTTGTCGATGAACGAACTGGACCAGGTCTCCAGTATGCTGTTCTTCAAGAACTCGGAGCTGGACGTTATTCGACTGAATGACAATCCCCGACTGAGTCAGCTGCCAACTGACGGTTTCCTCAGCTCCAACGGCATCTTTACCGTCTACTATTTGGATCTGTCCAACTGTGCCGTTGGCGCTCTGGGACACAAGACCTTCTCGACAATGCCGCACTTGACCACACTGAAGCTGGCCTGGAACAACATTAACAATCTGCCCCAGGCAACGTTCGCCAATCTTACCAAGCTCATCGACCTGGACTTGAGCAATAATCTGATTTCTCAATTGGATGATCTGCTCTTTATTGAAAACAACGAGATTACCAAGCTTAATCTGGCCGGAAACCCGATTACCAAACTATCTGTGCGCCTCTTCATGCCACTCCGACAGCTCCGATCTCTGGACGTGAATGACTGTGAACTGACCTCGTTGCTCGTCGACAAGCAGTTCGGTGTCGGCTATAAGTTCTTTGAGACGCTGCGCACCTTCAATGCGTCCGGCAATTTGATTAAGAGGATTTCCGCCTCGGATGTTAAGAGCTTTAAGAACCTGCGCTCTTTGGATATTACACACAATCCATTGAAGTGCGATGAGGACTTCCAGCAATTTATCAGCTATGTCTCGCTGCTCACACAAACGATGCCCAAGAAAATGTCTATGCTGGCCAATCTGGAGGATGCCATCTCCTTCGTTCATATTGACCCGCAGGTCGTTTGGGGTCAGCTGGCTCAGGAGGTATGCAAGCACACGAATATATCAAGCGATGAGGAAGAGGATCTTGAGAAGCGCTTAGAAGAGAGCGAGAAGAAACTGGACGAGGACGAAAAGCAGCTGCTTAGCGTTATGGACAAGAGCGTGCTGGATAAGACCAAGCTGAGCAACATGCAAAATATAATGAAGGGCTCGGCTAGCTCGGCTGAAGACAAGGAAGATAAGGATAAGGACTCCGACAGCGCTGAGGAGGACTTGAACAATGGCGGCGAGCAAAAAGAAGCCAATGACAGCGCATACGAGGACAGCGAGTACGACGATGACAGCGACAGCGATGAAGATGGGGATGCGGATGGGGATGAGCAGACCAACAAGCAGAATGATAAGACAAAGACCGAAAACGCTTTCAAGAAATACATCGAGACCGAACTGAAGCCCATGATCAAGGATCACGGTCTTAAGGTTGAGGAGGTTGACATATCGAAGGAAACCAACGAAACGTTCATGTTAGGTAAGTAGCTTAACATGCTTTGGTCTTTATCTATCTTTTTTCTAATTATCTGTTAATATTTATTACAGACAAGCTCGGCATTGACAGCGATGAGGAGGAGATCATCATTGAGCGTGGTCGCATCTACTACAACAGCTCCAACTATTTAATACCAACGATTATTGTGGTCACCTGCCTGGTGGTGATTCTCCTGGGTCTCGCCAAGATGGTCGCCATGATTCTGCGCAAGCGCGGCGAACGCTATCGCATGGCCATATTGGCATCGAAGAACTCCTTCGTGTACCAGAAACTCACCGAGGATATTGTGAAGCCGACCAGCAACGAACCAAAACAACCAAAGGTGCACCGATATGCGCCCATCAATCAGGTCTAAGTCCCAATCGCACAGTTAGCAGTTAGCTCCGGGGACTTCGTTTGTGTGCGGAGCGCGGTAGTCGAGTGTGTTGCGCTGTTTTTTTAATTTATAAGTTAATTCATAGTTAAACACGTGGAAATTCCAAGCAAAAGGTCATGAAATACAAAATACAAGAACAACAAACAGTAATAATAATAATAATAATAATAATAAATCAAATAAACGGTTCGACTCGACTTTCAACTTCCAACTCAAGTCAAGTTTAACCGTTTGTCAACACTGACAGAACAACAGAGCGCCGCAGTAGAGCGTGACAAAGTATTAACAAAAACTGAAAGAAAATACTGAGAAATACCCCCCCTATATATATATATATATATATATATACTATCTATCTATCTATGGATATAGCAAATAGTTGTTGTTGTACTTAATTCGGTTGCAGCCACCGATGGGCAAAGGGAGCAGAGAACGCGAGCGAACAATTAGCAACCGTTTCGGGAGCAACGGACTTTTAACTGATTGGAGTCCTCGTATTATTCTTCATATCCTTCTGACATATGTATGTATGTAGATATGTATCAGGCAATACATATTGTCGGATGATTTTTTTGTATACTTTTGGAACAGTTTGAAGATTTAGTGCCATTTTGCCGAAATTCATATCATATAGAAAAGAGAAAGAGAGAGAGAGAGAGGTTAATATTTTTTAAACAGACAGTCAGTCATAATGGAACGGTTGTAGATGTATCTGTAGAAGATCTGAAACCTGTTAGACTCCTTAAAATAAACCTTTGATATCCAAACTGGGCAAGAAGAGAAGACGCAAAGCATATTAATTACTACGTTAAGTCTTTTATTATTATTTTATCAATCAAATCAAGTACATTTTCGACTCTGAAACATATTCTGAAATCAATAAATTATTTTAACCAAAATGAACTTAATCTTTAAATTGTAGAAACACATACGTACTTAAATACGCCACTAATATACAATAAAATATACTTATTTATGAATTCGATTTGATTAATTTTACATCAAATAAAAGAAAAAAGGGAACGGCAATGCTCTTTTTTATTTTAAATATACAAATACACAAATAGTAAAAATTAAAATGTTCAAAAAATTAAAATTTGTATGCAGGGTATAAAATAGTTCGTTCTACTTCTTTTGCACATAATCCAAAGAGAACGCTTGCATTCCATTTCGTGCCGCAGTCGCAGCTTCTGCACATTCTTTCAAATTCCTTATCAAATGTTTTCCAACCGAATTTGCAACCACAGAAATAGTCGCACAGTCTAATTAAAAATTTAATGAAATTTTAAATGTAAATATCAAATTGACTTGCGGCTTAAATATGACGTCAAGCGATCCACAGACCAAATATGCTGTTTCTGCAAATGTCAATTTATAAGTTCTCTCAAACTTCTCTTTGAAGACAAATACATTTACGAAGACGATCCGCTCTTTCCACTTGTATGTAAACAAAATAATAATGAAGTTTGATGGAAAAAAAATTGCGACTACAATGTGAACGAATAAACAAAAAGTTTTATGCTGAGGTTTGCTAAAAAAAAATTTTATTTTCTTTCTGATTTTGCATGTCTTTAAATACTATTACAACAAATTGAAAATATTGTGATTTGCGTTAACAAAACTTGATTTAAAGATTTGCGCTCTTTAATCTCTGGCTAAGATCTGGATATTGTTATGTCCAAGTAGAAGAGTTAACATTATAATAATTATACTCAATAAAAAAGATATTTTTCATGTGATGCTTCAATTACATTTCACTTGCAAGTACATTTTGATGTTAAGTTCAGGTTTATACATAATTGATAAATGTTAGTTAATATTAAGTTACAAGGAGACTTTTCAGCCATGTATAGCATCTTTTTAAATTTCCCCAGTAACTTGTATAATTGTTCAGTGAACTAGTTCAGTTCACAGACTGCATTTTTATCTATCGATATCTGTAAAGCTTTGTTCAATGCAGCCAACTTCATTTAAAAGATCCGTTAGTTAGTTTTGCGTTGGTTTTTAGTGAAAATTTTGAGAGGTATGTGCCATTTAATTGTAATTAATAAACTTGCATTGAGTTCTCAAAGAGTTGGGCCAGTTCCGCTTGCGTTTGTGCGCGTGGCGCCATTTTTGTAATGCGCTCCTGGGGCAGGGCACCGTCGACAAGTGCTGGAATGTCGCTGCTGGAGAAGCCAAGCTCGCGAAGGCCATTTTCAATGCCGGCACGCTGCATATAGCCGCGCACAGTGTCTGCCAAAAGGCGTCCAGCATCGGCGGCCTTGACGCCAGTCACATCGGCTCCCAGTAGCTGGGCGGCCTCCAAGTGCCGCTCTGGGCAAGCGGGCGCGGTAAATTCAAAGACAGCAGGCGCACTGACCACAACCGAGAGGCCGTGTGGTATGAGCGCATGCTCACTGGAATAACCGGCGGGCTTGTAATCGCGCACGTGGCCCGAGATGGGATATGATAGACCGTGACAGAGGTGCACCCCGGCATTGCCGAAGCCCACGCCCGCCATGGTCGAGGCGAGATGCATATTCGAGCGGGCCTTTAGGTTGTCGGGCTGATATATGGCGTCTAGGAAGTTGGTGCGTATAGAGTCCAGCGCAAAACGCGCCCACACATCTGATATGGGGTTTCTGCCCTGATACGTCGGACGCAGACTGGGATCAGCTGGCGCTGGACCACGTTCACGGTAATCGACAGCCGTAAAGCTCTCCAGGGCATGGCAGAATACATCAAACCCAGCGAATGCCATCACCCGCTCCGGCTGCGTCAACGTGTGCAAGGGATCGACAATAGCTGCAATAGACGCAAAAAGTCAGCTGAAGAAAGTCTTAAATCCTGCTCCAGACTGAGCGTCTCACCCAAGGTTGGCTTCAGATGTTTGCTTGAGATGCCAGTTTTGGCGTGCAGACGTTTGTAGTCGAAAATTGCCACTCCCGTGGTCTCCGAGCCCGTGCCGGATGTAGTGGGAACCGCAATGAGTGGCTTCAGTTTAACGGAAATCTGCGAGCATTGAAAAGATCAACAAAAGGAAGAATCGTACGCATGTATATCAAAAGCTAACCTCTTTGGCACGTCCAATGGGTGCATTGACGTAGTCAAGCAGCTCCGCCTCCCGATCACTACAAAACAGATTTGCCACCTTGGCGGTATCCATGGCTGAGCCACCGCCAATGGCCACGAACGCATCGAACTGATGGCGACGCGCGAATTGGGCAGCCAGCCAAAAGCTTTCATCCGTGGGCTCCACACGCGTCTCATCGTACACCTGGTAGTTGATGCCGTGGCGTGCCAGCGAGTCCAGGGCAACGCGAACGGAGGGTAGCTTCGCCACATTTTTATCTGTCACCAGGCAAACATTCTTTACGCCCCAATTGCGCAAATCAGCACCCAGCTCCGCGCTTACACCTGGTCCAAAGCGCACTGTCGACGCCGACATCTGCGCACAGAGATAAGTATGATAAGTTTTGCTGGACTTTGCCCGGACTTTGCAAAACTTACCTCAAATGCATACTCTTTGGGGCCCGTTTGAGCTGTGGCCGCTGCAGCCGATCCATAATTATGCGAATGTGCTGGACATTTGCAGCTAAAAAAAATATGCGAATAAGCTGCGGGCTAAGTTCATCTTTTTTATCACTTACGAGTTGGCAACGATTGTGTTTATCAAATTTAAAACGTTCTTGCGCGACATTCTCAGCAGTTTTTTTCTAATCTCTAATCAGCTGCTCTCCTCAATTGATAACAGTCGCGGTGCTGCCCACTCCGATCGACGATAGCATTCGAAATTAATCAAACTCATTTGTATATCGATAATTGTAACGGTGCTTTTAATTTGTTGCAGTTCCAATTTATATTCGAAAACAAAAAGAAATGTGTGACTACGAGCACGAATACTCCTTCACCTTTGATGAGAGCACGCTGGAATATGAGCTCAATGGCCGCCCATGGGACAGCGGATTCGAGAGCTTGTGGCAGCGCATTGGTGAGGAGCTGCGGCGGGAACAGGAGATCAATGAGCTGGATCACGTATTTCAGGAGAAGCTTATACTGCAATGCCGCCCGCAAATGGACTCGTGGATGTAATCTCTCTCTATAAATATATTTGTATGTTCATTTCGTTTAGTCAGCAGCATTTTTGACAAATGCGCTATTGTTTAAGATATTTAAGATATTGTTTGTACAATCGTCGTTCTCTTAAAAGCAATCAATATTAAGTTATTTAAATAACGGGAGATAGGCTCCGATCAAAAAAAATTTCGTTCATATATTTCAAATATGTTCGTTGTCCTGCGGTACGATTATTAATTCAAATTCTGTCAAATAATTGAAAATAATTGATCGCGTAAGACCAAGTTAACAAGCACTTAGAAATGCTGTCATTTATATTTATACATTATATTATTATCATTATGTAATCTCGTTTCGACAGTATTATTGTGTTTATTTTGTATAACCACCCGTGATCAGTATTTGAATCTACGATCTCATATGTAGAAATACACACATTTTACGAAAGTTTAAATACAATTAATTGTGTATAATTATCAAGAATTCAGTTGTAAGTTATAGATGTCACCGGCTAACGATCCCACGCCGAGAAACAATTCTCATTCGCTTGCAATGTGAGAAACAATTGTTAAATGCTGTTGATGTCAATTACCTAAATGTATGTCCGCCCATATTTAACGCGAGATTTACAACTCAATTTTATAAAATCGCAATTCTCGATCTTAAAACATAAGCTACACTAAACGATGTTGATAGATTTTCCCAGCGCCATTTATGAGCCGCCGCCCATAAAAGGGGCGCTCCGTTAGATTCAGTCATCAGTTTACGGACAACTGTCACCATCAAAGCTTCCAAATAGTATCTGATTCACTATGAAGTGGTTCAATTTGTTTTTAGTACTCGGTCTTTTGGCGCTGGTCGGCAGCATTGGAACTTTGACAGCCGCCGAGCCTGTTCCACAACCGGGACCAGAGCCCAAGGGACGCCCGCACACAACTCGTCGACCAAGGAATGAGAACGACGAGAATCGGCGCTAGCAGCCCAATCTTATAAGATGCACCAAACAGCAACGGATTCGTGATGCACAAACAGAAAATATTTTGGTTACGGTGAAATGCTTTGGATTCGAACAGTTGCAATTTATTGAAGTTTTACTCTTGTAATATTATAAACGAACCAATTAATGTGCCAACATTTAATTGTTTACGTGTACTATGAATATATTCTAAAAAATTAAAAAAAAATCATTAAAACAGTTTCAAATCATTCCCGAACCGATTTTCTAACAATGAAGATATATCGCTTTAATTTCGAGCGGAGAAAAGGATATTGCCAGCATGATAGGAGCGAAAGTTTATTAGCAGTCGACTGTAAAGTCGGTAGTTGCCGCTGTTAAGTTGACTGTTATCAACAGCTGTTAGCAGCAGCTCATGGAATAAAGAGCATATGTACATACACAAGCAAATTCGTGTGTTTTTACGACCATAGGCAAGTTTAATAGAGATTTATAAAAATGCAACCATCCTACGTTACTAAGGAATGACCCAAAATGAAAAAAAATGCAGTGCGAAATGTATTATTTAATTTTTAAGCGCCAATCGATAGTACTGATCCTTACGAATCCAAAGTGGTATAAAATTCCAATTTCAAATTAATCAAGAAAGGTTGATTTTACAAACGCATCACTTTTTTGATCCAGAATTTTTTTTAACCCATCAATTTTAAGTTTGTGATTGTGAGACAATCTCAGCATCAGTAGGCGTAGTAAAACAGAAAAGTTCAGACTAGAGACCGGCTTTAACGTTAAATAATAACCCCCCACCTCGAGTCGGCCGATCATTTCTATGCACAATGAAATTGTTCGAAAGACCTTCAAAATCAGATATTGTCGAACTTAACCATGTTTCTGAAAATGCGATTAAATCCGAATCGAAGAAAGTTCTATCCACTAAAAGATTTTTAAGCTTAGAAATAAAAGACCTCTGACATTCTGATAAAGAATAGAAGCTAGTTCGGCAGACGCAGTTAGTTTTTTGTGGCAGTAACGGCCAGACCCTGTATCGAGGGGACCGGAAATATACATATAGAAATCGTGAAGCACAAGCAAATCACGTAAATCGCGCTCAACTGAGAACTCTCTCGATTATAGTACGAAACAAAAACAACACAGCATCCGAATGCCACGTCATACTTTTACTCTCTCTCTCTCTCTCTAAATTTCGCGTCGGCTTTTAATATATGAAACAAATAAATAAAAACGGTTCCGAAAATATATATAAAAATTATATAGAGATACGGCTTGGTGTTGATTTTTCGGCTCTCGAGGCTCTTAGCTGTCTTACTCTCTCTCTGGACATAACATTAGGAATTCTTGACTCGATTAGTGCTCAACTTGAATCCTCTATATATTGTATACCTAGTTATAATACAGAGCGTCGACAAGTATACACGCAACACGCTTCACACCCAATTAATTTAAAACATCCGCAATAACTTTATAAACATAAATACATAAATATATATGTATATATATATTTAAATCAAATGAAGATTGATATACAAATATCTAATAATATGACTAATTACGATACAGATAGTATTTTGCTACTGAATGACTATTGTATTTATGAAATACTCAAACAGATTAAAATCGAATGTGAATCTTCTAAAACACCGAATAGATTGGATCAATTGATATACAAAGATCTCATCAATTTTGCGCTTGCTTGTGAACGGTTTCGCGTTTTGTTTCGGAAATGGAAGCCCGAACTTTACAAAAGCCGCGAAATTGATGAAACTTATTAATGTGAATCTTACAGAGTTGTCGTTAATTTTGTACAGCTTCATGAACGACTCCGCAAAACATCGAAAAAAGGCAAAGAAGCATTGTGGCAAATATTTACAGATGCATTTAAGTCGAATAGAAACTTGGAAAGCGTCGAATTGATATATAGGGATCCTGATATATATTGCAGTGAACATAAGGAAGTATTTGACCAACTCGTAGGTGCACTTAAGAACATATCTATGATTGATTTTTTTTTTAATGATTGATATGCATGGTGAGTTTTCTCTTATTATACATTAAAAAGAAAATATGCTTTTAAAAGTATTTTCAATCGCATTTCCAGGGTATTCTCTTAGTAGCTTCCAAGAATTCCCTAAACTTAAATTCCTCGAATTGAATGTCAAATTTAATACTGATGAGTTGGTCGAGTATTGCAAGGCAAATCCACGCCTGAGATTAAAGTTCCTTACATTTAAGGTAAAAAGTTATTTTAATGACTCTGAATATACAGCGCTTGCCAAATTTACTTGTATTACGAATAGAAGGAGAAACTGAAAATGATTTCATGGAAACTAAGCTAATCGATGATCCGCGATCTATATCTGTCAATGAATTTACTACAAGGAAGCGCGAAGACGGATCTTTGACGAATTTTTTCCGTGCACTTTTATTGCAGGAAGACCTACAACTTAACAGCTTATTTATAGAGGGTTACGACCTCTATTTGGAAGATATTTTGGAAATTTCCAAAATAAAAGCTAAAATTTACTTACCCCTAAGGAAACAGCTCTAGTTGCAGAAATTTAATCATTAAGGAAATTAAAATGTGAATTCGTTGATGCACAAGCTTTTGAAAAACTGGCCAAATTTAATCAACTCGAAGAAACAGCTATAAGTCGTATTGAAAGGAAATCAATGCAGATATTGACTTCTAGCGTACCACAAACACTTCAAAATTTGAATATAGAACTTACGCCCATATCATATAACGACACTTTGGCTGTTGTAGGAATTAAAACCCTACGAAGCTTGCATTGTAAATTCGGTAACATTGATAGCATAGAACTATTAGTTGAACAACCAGACCTTGAAGAACTAGCTATTAGTTTTATTCGGCCGTCTGATGCCGAAGCCGAAAGCATTAAAAGCTTGGCAAAGTTAAATAAGTTAACTCATCTTGAAATTACATCATTCGAGAACTGCAATCATAGGAAGCTTTTCGCAGAGATATCGTCAAGGTCATCGCCGATCCTACAAAACTTGGTCATTGAAGGATTTCATTTAGATGTAAAAGATATTCAAGAAATAATAAAAATTAATTCACTTCGAAAACTAAGATGTGGATTCAGACAAATCAAAAGCTACCAATATTTAAAATATTTAAAAAATCTAGATGTGCTTGAAATAAATTCTCTTTTTGACATTTCATCGCAAAGCCTTTTGGGGATTTTTCAAGAGTGTCGCAATCTGCAAGATTTTCATCTATACAATTTTCCCACATGCATAAGTCCGAAATGTGTTAATGAAGCTTTAAAGATCCTTAAAGCAGTAAGCAATCCTGTAGAACAAGGTACATTAAATTTACGTTTTCCAATATTTCAAGGTTTCTGGCCTGAGCATGTGAGTATACATATATAATTATGATTGGTACATTAGTTAATCTATTTCTTTTAATTCTTTCAGGCGGATGAAGTATATTTGAAAATATCTGATCTGTATGCATGATTATTTATAAGCTATGAGCTTTTATTGCAAATACATGTTGTTAATGCTGTGGTTGTTTCTAATAGAAAATGTTCTGAAGCTGCTGGGCTGAACTTATGTATGTATCTGTATGTATGTATGTGTTTGTATATGAAGCTTTAATGATTGTTGACTTGGGCAATAGCAGAAGCAGATGCTTATGTTTTCATTCATCCACAAGCATTATAGAGTATTTTGCTAGGAGTGTTCCTCGTATAGTCTTCTATTCTGAACTATTTGGCAAGTAGATAGTCTTAGCATATAGTCGTGGCGCCCGGGAGGTCGGATGCAGAACATAGTGTCGGGATTCAGGCGAAAAAAAATTTCAATATTACTTTCTACAATGGTCATGATGGATTGAAAGGTTCTGAGAGTCATATGCGCGTGTTGCTCATATCTCTCGTAAAGCGGCGTTCTCTCTCAGGCACGACTCTAATGCATACTAATTTCTAAAGAAATAAACACCTGTAACTATACAGCAAATACATACATATGTACGTAACTTATACGCATACTGTAATTAAGTATGTATATATTCTTATTACTCAATGGCCATTAGCCTTGTGAAAGATTGTTAGATGCATTGTGATATGCATAGCGTAGTTGTGACGTCACAATTTCGGAACTTTTTGATCGCGCGTTGCGCATTTTCTCTCTAAGAGTTAATCTCTGGAACGCTACCAAGTGTACACAAAGCGGCGTCTGGCCGGCGTTCTCTCTCGGGTACGACGCAAATGCAAACTGATAGCAAAAAACGTAAACATCTATAGCTATACAGCAAATACATATGTACATAAGTTATACGCATACTGTACATAAGTATGTATTGTAATTCAATATATACATATGTATGTGTGCGTGTGTGTCTGTGAGTATCGGGCGCTGAGCATAAATTCTTTTCAACTGAGTCGCCAGTTAGTCGCGAGAAGCGTGCGAGTACGCTTGAATATTTCCAGCAATAATGTCCAGATTTTGGCTCGCAATTTGTTGCCTGCTTGTGGCAAGTGGCACCACCACCAGCATAAGCATCAGCAGCAGGCATTGGTGGCCAGCCAGGTTGCAAGCTGCTCGGGTGACGTACTCGCCGGAGCTGTTGCAAGATCTTCGCGAATTTATCAATCTGATACCGAGCATCACCATCGACGAGCTGATCGCGGAGCATATGGTTGTTGATTCCGGATTTCGTAAGGCTGTCAAATTTATACGCAGTTCGGACTTTAAGCAGCTGCAGCAACGCGCCGAGTCGCTGCCCGAGATAATTGAGGTTATAAATTTTGCGCATCTGAATGATACAAACATCACATCCAGAATTCGCATCGACGAGCGGCTCAGGCAGCAGCTGATAGCCAGCGCATACAAAAGCTATGGCTATCAGTTGACAGACGGGGCGCCGGCTGGTAATGATATTGATGAGGAGGGCGTGGTCGTGGTCCTGCTGCCCCACACTGGTCACGAGGTTGTGCTTCCGCCCACATCCGGCAGCTTTGTCAGCTTCGCCCAGGAGCTGTTGACCCATCTGCCGCGGGATCGTTTCATTGCGCTGATCAATGAGAAACGTAAAAACAGCAACGTTTTTCCCAAATTCTACGAGGCCATACGCAGCGATGAGTTTAAATCTCTCTTGGACAAGACAATGGTAAATAAAGCATGACTGTATGATACCCAATACATTTCATTTACACATCTTTGCCATTACAGAAATCACAGAATGTGCTGAATATTATTAAAACACTGGCCAGCCATGAGATCGATGCACTGAGTCTAAAAGGTATTGCATTGGAGGTCATCTCTTGGGGTCCGACGCCCTGATTTTTACATTAAATATATGCATATAATGACATTTGCTCACATATTTTATATACATTCATGTCAAAAAACATTGAATGCTTCTGTGCTGCTTCCAAAATTATTAATTGCAAATATTACTGCATACTTTCATGCTGCAGGCCAATGGCTGGCAAATTTTGGGATTCACATGTAGGTCTCACTGAAATCCGTGTATATTCTCCAACGACATGAGATTGCGATTCTTCAAGGTATGATGTTTTGTAATGTTACTTGTCACTTCTGTGTAAATGAAAAAATTCATGTGAATATATAATATTAAATAATATAAAATATAAAGAAATTTTAGGATCTATGTATATGTAACAATTAAAAAAAATAAGCAAGCAAATTCCTATGTTTTAAGGTCCAGGCAAGTTTATAGCCAAAAATTTAACGGTTAAATTGAATTCGAATTACGAGTCCAAAATGGTATAAAATTCCCAAATCGGACATTATTTGGCCGACATATTCCAAAAAATCATCAAAAGAGGTTGACTTCACAAACAAGTCGGTCTTTGGTGATGTAACCCCTTGCCATTTTGTTGATTTTTGTCAAAATTTAGATTTCTATTTTTTTAATGCCAATCGATAGTACTGATCCTTACGAGTCCAAAATGGTATAAAATTCCCAAATCGGACATTATTTGGCCGATATATTCAAAAAAATCATCAAAAAGGTTGACTTTACAAACAAATCGGTCTTTGGTCAACCACTTTTTTTAACCCATCGACCCAATACATTTCATTTACACATCTTTGCCATTACAGAAATCACAGAATGTGCTGAATATTATTAAAACACTGGCCAGCCATGAGATCGATGCACTGAGTCTGAAAGGTATTGCATTGGAGGTCATCTCTTGGGGTCCGACGCCCTGATTTTTACATTAAATATATGCATATAATGACATTTGCTCACATATTTTATATACATTCATGTCAAAAAACATTGAATGCTTCTGTGCTGCTTCCAAAATTATTAATTGCAAATATTACTGCATACTTTCATGCTGCAGGCCAATGGCTGGCAAATTTTGGGATTCACATGTAGGTCTCACTGAAATCCGTGTATATTCTCCAACGACATGAGATTGCGATTCTTCAAGGTATGATGTTTTGTAATGTTACTTGTCACTTCTGTGTAAATGAAAAAATTCATGTGAATATATAATATTAAATAATATAAAATATAAAGAAATTTTAGGATCTATGTATATGTAACAATTAAAAAAAATAAGCAAGCAAATTCCTATGTTTTAAGGTCCAGGCAAGTTTATAGCCAAAAATGTAACGGTTAAATTGAATTCGAATTACGAGTCCAAAATGGTATAAAATTCCCAAATCGGACATTATTTGGCCGACATATTCCAAAAAATCATCAAAAGAGGTTGACTTCACAAACAAGTCGGTCTTTGGTGATGTAACCCCTTGCCATTTTGTTGATTTTTGTCAAAATTTAGATTTATATTTTTTTAATGCCAATCGATAGTACTGATCCTTACGAGTCCAAAATGGTATAAAATTCCCAAATCGGACATTATTTGGCCGATATATTCAAAAAAATCATCAAAAAAGGTTGACTTCACAAACAAATCGGTTTTTGGTCAAACACTTTTTTTAACCCATCGATTTTGAAAATATTTGAATGCAGATTGATAGTAGGGATCCCTACGAATTCAAAAAGGTATAACATTTCAAAATCAGACAGTATTTACCCGAGATATTCAATAAAAATCATCGAAAAAGTTTTCATTTTCGAACCGACCCCGAATTTGAAGAAAAACGTGATGTAACCCCTTGCCATTTTGTTGATTTTGGTCAAAATTTAGATTTTTATTTTTTTGATGCCAATCGATAGTACTGATCCTTACGAGTCCACAATGGTATAAAATTCCCAAATCTGACATTATTTGGCCGATATACTCCAAAAAATCATCAAAAAAGGTTGACTTTACAAACAAATCGGTGTTTGGTCAACCACTTTTTTTAACCCATCGATTTTGAAAATGTTTGAATGCAGATTGATAGTAGGGATCCCTACGAATTCAAAAAGGTATAACATTTCAAAATCAGACAGCATTTACCCGAGATATTCAATAAAAATCATCGAAAAAGTTTTCATTTTCGAACCGACCCCGAATTTGAAGAAAAACGTGATGTAACCCCCTTGCCATTTTGTTGATTTTGGTCAAAATTTAGATTTTTATTTTTTTGATGCCAATCGATAGTACTGATCCTTACGAGTCCAAAATGGTATAAAATTCCCAAATCGGAAATTATTTGGCCGATATATTCAAAAAAATCATCAAAAAGGTTGACTTTACAAACAAATTGGTCTTCGGTCAACCACTTTTTTTAACCCATCGATTTTGAAAATGTTTGAATGCAGATTGATAGTAGGGATCCCTACGAATTCAAAAAGTTATAACATTTCAAAATCAGACAATATTTACCCGAGATATTCAATAAAAATCATCGAAAAAGTTTTCATTTTCGAACCGACCCCGAATTTGGAGAAAAACGTGATGTAACCCCTTGCCATTTTGTTGATTTTGGTCAAAATTTAGATTTTTATTTTTTTGATGCCATTCGATAGTACTGATCCGTACGAGTCCAAAATGGTATAAAATTCCCAAATCTGACATTATTTGGCCGATATATTCAAAAAAATCATCAAAAAAGGTTGACTTCACAAACAAATCGGTTTTTGGTCAACCACTTTTTTGAACCCATCGATTTTGAAAATGTTTGAATACAGATTGATAGTAGGGATCCCTACGAATTCAAAAAGGTATAACATTTCAAAATCAGACAGTATTTACCCGAGATATTCAATAAAAATCATCGAAAAAGTTTTCATTTTCGAACCGACCCCGAATTTGAGAAAAAACGTGATGTAACCATTTGCCATTTTGTTGATTTTGGTCAAAATTTAGATTTTTATTTTTTTGATGCCAATCGATAGTACTGATCCTTACGAGTCCAAAATGGTATAAAATTCCCAAATCGGACATTATTTGGCCGATATATTCAAAAAAATCATCAAAAAGGTTGACTTTACAAACAAATCGGTCTTTGGTCAACCACTTTTTTTAACCCATCGATTTTGAAAATGTTTGAATGCAGATTGATAGTAGGGATCCCTACGAATTCAAAAAGGTATAACATTTCAAAATCAGACAGTATTTACCCGAGATATTCAATAAAAATCATCGAAAAAGTTTTCATTTTCGAACCGACCCCGAATTTGAGAAAAAACGTGATGCCATTGATGCCTTGCCATTTTGTAGGGATCCCTACGAATTCAAAAAGGTATAACATTTCAAAATCAGACAGTATTTACCCGAGATATTCAATAAAAATCATCGAAAAAGTTTTCATTTTCGAACCGACCCCGAATTTGAGAAAAAACGTGATGTAACCCCTTGCCATTTTGTTGATTTTGGTCAAAATTTAGATTTTTATTTTTTTGATGCCAATCGATAGTACTGATCCTTACGAGTCCAAAATGGTATACAATTCCCAAATCGGACATTATATGGCCGATATATTCCAAAAAATTATCAAAAAAGGTTGACTTCACAAACAAATCGGTTTTTGGTCAACCACTTTTTTTAACCCATCGATTTTGAAAATATTTGAATGCAGATTGATAGTAGGGATCCCTACGAATTTAAAAAGGTATAACATTTCAAAATCAGACAGTATTTACCCGAGATATTCAATAAAAATCATCGAAAAAGTTTTTATTTTCGAACCGACCCCGAATTTGAAGAAAAACGTGATGTAACCCCTTGCCATTTTGTTGATTTTGGTCAAAATTTAGATTTTTATTTTTTTGATGCCAATCGATAGTACTGATCCTTACGAATCCAAAATGGTATAAAATTCCCAAATCGGACATTATTTGGCCGATATATTCAAAAAAATCATCAAAAAAGGTTGACTTCACAAACAAATCGGTTTTTGGTCAACCACTTTTTTTAACCCATCGATTTTGAAAATGTTTGAATGCAGATTGATAGTAGGGATCCCTACGAATTCAAAAAGGTATAACATTTCAAAATCAGACAGTATTTACCCGAGATATTCAATAAAAATCATCGAAAAAGTTTTCATTTTCGAACCGACCCCGAATTTGAGAGAAAAACGTGATGTAACCCCTTGCCATTTTGTTGATTTTGGTCAAAATTTAGATTTTTATTTTTTTGATGCCAATCGATAGTACTGATCCTTACGAGTCCAAAATGGTATAAAATTCCCAAATCGGACATTATTTGGCCGATATATTCAAAAAAATCATCAAAAAAGGTTGACTTTACAAACAAATCGGTTTTTGGTCAACCACTTTTTTGAACCCATCGATTTTGAAAATGTTTGAATGCAGATTGATAGTAGGGATCCCTACGAATTCAAAAAGGTATAACATTTCAAAATCAGACAGTATTTACCCGAGATATTCAATAAAAATCATCGAAAAAGTTTTCATTTTCGAACCGACCCCGAATTTGAGAAAAAACGTGATGTAACCCCTTGCCATTTTGTTGATTTTGGTCAAAATTTAGATTTTTATTTTTTTGATGCCAATCGATAGTACTGATCCTTACGAGTCCAAAATGGTATAAAATTCCCAAATCGGACATTATTTGGCCGATATATTCAAAAAAATCATCAAAAAGGTTGACTTTACAAACAAATCGGTCTTTGGTCAACCACTTCTTTTAACCCATCGATTTTGAAAATGTTTGAATGCAGATTGATAGTAGGGATCCCTACGAATTCAAAAAGGTATAACATTTCAAAATCAGACAGTATTTACCCGAGATATTCAATAAAAATCATCGAAAAAGTTTTCATTTTCGAACCGACCCCGAATTTGAAGAAAAACGTGATGTAACCCCTGTCCATTTTGTTGATTTTGGTCAAAATTTAGATTTTTATTTTCTTGATGCCAATCGATAGTACTGATCCTTACGAGTCCAAAATGGTATAAAATTCCCAAATCGGACATTATTTGGCCGATATATTCAAAAAAATCATCGAAAAGGTTGACTTTACAAACAAATCGGTTTTTGGTCAACCACTTTTTTTAACCCATCGATTTTTAAAATGTTTGAATGCAGATTGATAGTAGGGATCCCTACGAATTCAAAAAGGTATAACATTTCAAAATCAGACAGTATTTACCCGAGATATTCAATAAAAATCAGCGAAAAAGTTTTCGATTTTCGACCCGACCCCGAATTTGAGAGAAAAACGTGATGTAACCCCTTGCCATTTTGTTGATTTTGGTCAAAATTTAGATTTTCATTTTTTTGATCCCAATCGATAGAACTGATCCTTACGAGTCCAAAATGGTATAAACTTCCCAAATCGCACACTGTTTGGCCGAGATATTCCAAAAAAACATCAAAAAAGGTTGACTTTACAAACGAATCGGTTTTTGGTCAACCCCTTTTTTCAACCCATCGATTTTGAAAATGTTTGAATGCCAGATTGATAGTAGGGATCCCTACGAATTCAAAAAGGTATAACATTTCAAAATCAGACAGTATTTACCCGAGATATTCAATAAAAATCATCGAAAAAGTTTTCATTTTCGAACCGACCCCGAATTTGAGAAAAAACGTGATGTAACCCCTTGCCATTTTGTTGATTTTGGTCAAAATTTAGATTTTTATTTTTTTGATGCCAATCGATAGTACTGATCCTTACGAGTCCAAAATGGTATAAAATTCCCAAATCGGACATTATTTGGCCGATATATTCCAAAAAATTATCAAAAAAGGTTGACTTCACAAACAAATCGGTTTTTGGTCAACCACTTTTTTTAACCCATCGATTTTGAAAATGTTTGAATGCAGATTGATAGTAGGGATCCCTACGAATTCAAAAAGGTATAACATTTCAAAATCAGACAGTATTTACCCGAGATATTCAATAAAAATCATCGAAAAAGTTCTCATTTTCGAACCGACCCCGAATTTGAAGAAAAACGTGATGTAACCCCTGCCATTTTGTTGATTTTGGTCAAAATTTAGATTTTTATTTTTTTGATGCCAATCGATAGTACTGATCCTTACGAGTCCAAAATGGTATAAAATTCCCAAATCGGACATTATTTGGCCGATATATTCCAAAAAAATCATCAAAAAAGGTTGACTTTACAAACAAATCGGTGTTTGGTCAACCACTTTTTTTAACCCATCGATTTTGAAAATGTTTGAATGCAGATTGATAGTAGGG